AAAAAAACCCCAGCTTGATCTGAAGGTGGCTTAGCTTTTCGTAAAGGTTTCTGTCAGGTAGAAGCGGGGAGTTTTTTTCGGAAGAAGCGTGATAACAATCTTTAACACAGATGAATTTGTTTTGTTGTTGTAAATTCCGTAATTAATCTTTCTTGTTGATCTCATTTCATTACTTCAGTTTGAATTCAGGAGAGTTTGTGCTTCCTCACGAGGATGTTGCACATTTACGACAAGAAGTGCTCAATCAAGTGGATATGCTAGAAATTCAACAAATCACACCGGAGAAGAAGCTTTTAATGTAGGTCGAGAAGCCTTTTGGACTTGATCACTACATTTTCTTCTAGGCTTCGCAAGGCTCATCCTTGGCTGTTTGAATGGCCATGTCTCTATGCAGATGTTCTCGAGCTATTAGATGAATATCGCTTCAAGTCGAAATCCCGCGCTTTTCTTCAGGAGATCTTTTATAATGCTTTGAGGCTTTGGTAGTAATCATTGTGTTGATTTATGTAATATTTATCATAGCCATACTTATCTTCAGATAGGAACAGTTCAGATTTTGACTCAATTATCTACTTTTGAAAGGTGTAATAGCACGCTATTGATAGCGTGACGAAAACTGTTTGTTATTGTGAGATGGAGATGTTTTACTTTGGAAGTGCAGTTAGCCGCAAGCCACATTCCGTATTTTGGCGATTTTATAAAATCGTAGGGTACTAACCGAACATCCAGATTCCGAGCGGATTTCGCCCAATTTGACTTGAAGGTTATTTGGTATGATGAACATACTCACTTGGCACGATGAGGTCGTCTTGTTCGTTACATTGAGTTTATGGAGGAAGCCATTAAGTCTTCGATTGATCAGTGAGCTCACTTGAAGTTGGTCACGATTAACCTTGTTTGAGTATAGTGGGCCGCATGTGACGATCAGGGTAGATGTACGACATGTTACCACAATATACGCATTTCATATTCGTGACCAGCTGAAATAACTTTTTTAGACGAAGAAGCAGATTCTGTGATTTGGAGCCCTCACTGCATATATACCATAGCTGTGCAGAAAAAAATCGTTTATTATCTAGCCAAATATGTGGGTTGGAAACCTGCCCCTTCCGCTTGCCATACGGATAGTTTCGGTTTTTGTGACAGGTTGTTGAGAGCTCATGTGATTTACCCGCTATTTCTCTCGTTGCTTCTTGTTTGATGCTCTATTTTTTATATCCTTGACTTACACTTGTTAAGTTGCTGGTAGATTACGCTCTCGAAGACATTGACTATCCTCATCTCTTAAAATTATTTACTAATTCGAATCATCACTGGAAAAGCCATGATGCGATTATGCATGAATTTGATGTGCTATTGCTGTTTCATTCATTTCCTTTGTGGACTTGCGTGGTTTTTTCGATTCGCATCTGGAGTTGATATAAAGGTGTAGAAAAGCTTGTATGTGCTTTCTCAACGGCTCAGAAAGTCGCATCGGGAAGTTTGCGGGTGCTTGCCCCACCACCA